AACAAGGAGGAGTTGCGTACAGTAATAAGGTAATTCCGTTGTTTTTTCTTACCGTGACGTCTACGGGTATACATTTGATTACTTCTCCGGTGGTGACTGCCTGTACTCTGGTCCTTTCATCAGGCGGTATGCGAATTCGTCAGACTGCAGGGTTGCGAAAGAGACAAGGCGTTAGTTATAACTTGTCTTTCTCATTCGAATTTTTGTTGTATTACGTTGTGGTATAATGACGTCATTTGTTGTCAGATGTGTTTTTCTACGTATAATGAATTTAGAGTTCATATATGCAAAAATATCTAGGTTATCTACAGGAATCCTCGGTTGCGGCCGAATCCTAACTCCCAAGGGAGCGGAGGGAGCCGCAGCCGGGGGGACCGAGGGGAGAGTTCGCTCACCTGCGGGGTCGCGCTTTGCCCGGCTTTGTGGGGTGCGACCTCTCTCCTCACGGACGTAGATGCGGCGGGAAGGCCCTCCCACCGGGAACCGTAAGGGGGGGGCATCAACGCCGTAGAGGGTCCCCTTCCCCTTCAGGGAAGGGTATCCCTGGTGAGGGCCTCCAGGGTGACTGCCGAATCCCTATTTCCTTTGGGAGGGGGAGAGAGCACCACTCTGGAGGCGGGGGGGGGGGCGGCTCGAGCGGAATACTCGAGCCGCGACCCCGCCCCTCAAACTCTTTGGGAGGGCGCGGCGTGGGGCCGGTGTCGCCCTGCGCGCACCGCGACGGAACGCCGCACAGTCATTGACTGTGCGGTCGGGAAGGGTCTCGGCCGCAAGGTCGGGGGGGGGGGGCGGCGAGACGGCATGGGAAACCAGCATCCTCGCCGTCCCTTACCCAACGCCCGGGAAGGACACCCGCTTTTAGTGCGGTAGGTCCTGGGCCCCTGGCCGAAGGGAACAAGGAGTCCCACATAACCCTCACCTCTACCCGGAGGTGTGTGGTACTATGAGTTTCCCCAGCGTCACACCAAAAAAAAAAAAGTTATCTACAGAAATAATTCCTCTTACAGCAAAGGTATCTCCCTTTCTGGTCTCGAGAATAAAGAGTTTGGGATGTTCTGTTTGCAGTAAGGTGTATCCGCAGAGAGGTTCCTTTGTCTTGGTCAGGACAAAGGTGATTTCCTGAGTTGTTAGGCTGTAGACGGTTGGAGACGGGTGGTTTATAGCGTCGTCTGTAATTTTGTTCTGTCCCCGCGCTTTCGTCCCGCGAATTATTTTTATTTATAATTTTTGTTTATGCGATTTTTGCGTTTTTGGCGAGCGATTTTGCATAGGGTACGTGTCTCAACCGGAGAAGCCGAAGAGAGAGAGAGAGAGTGAGAGAACGGAGAAGACGAAGAGGACGATTACGGACCGAGCAGAGGCCACCACGTCCGGATCACGCCCGGTAAATATTGTTCACACACAGCTTTTCTGGATTGCTCTTCCCGTTAAGAACCTGGATACCGCCATAAAGTGTTCCTTCTTTCGCAGAGATTCCGGCAAGAGACGGGGATGGCCACTCTCTCGCGAGAGGCGAGAGAGCCCCGAAACAAAAGACGCGGGAGATACACTGCCTCGAGCCTCAGCCTACCCAGATATACAAAATTTCGCAATCGATCAATCAATCGATCTGGCGGATTTTTGGAGAAACAGCAAAGGGGCGCGCTCGTAGGATTCTTCCCGACGAAAAATAAAGAGGAACAGCGGAACTCGAGGCGGAAGCACAGAGGAACGGCGAAGGAATTTTCATCAAACAAATTCGCAGGGCCCGCAGGGCACCCGTCGGCTTCTGCCAGGATAAGAAGCGCCACGGGTGAAAATGCTTAATTTATTATCGGCGTGATCCCGGCAGGCCTCTTGCTCGTCACTGTCTGGCGGAGCGTGACCGAGAGCAAAGGCAAAGGTTCCAGATTACGGATGCCGAAGCATCGAAGAACTCGCAGATACCGGTGAGACGAACGGCCCTATCTTTGTAAAGCCGCTAATTTGTTGAGTTGATTGTTCGGGAGAGACGCGTGTCACGGCCGCCTCGCCGGGTACAGATATTCCCCGGTGTCTTTTGCGATATTACGAGAGAATTAATTGAGAGATTATTCCGCGTGGAGTTTATCCCGGCGCCCGACCGACCGCGTGTTCTCTCCCGCGCGCATATTAAGAGAGGCTCTCTCTCCCGCGATACGCCGACAGTCGCCGCGATTTCTTTATACTGATGTAAGAATAAAGTCTCGTCTCGTAGTTACTGTGTCGTCTCTCGTCTGCTAGGATTTATAACTTTGAGAATATGATCTTGTCTATCGTCACGTCGGAGATATAGCGTATTCTTCGCGCGCATCCGATTATTCGAGTAACTTTTCGATCTTTGTGACCTTGTGCGGAGGACGGCCAACGCGATCGATCTCAGGGAACCCGCGCGGGACCTACTAGAGTTTACGGGAGATTTTGCATTGCCTAAAATCATTAGAATCAATTACGTCGCACAGACCTTATTAAGTCTCGTGCGTTAATAATATTCGACACGTAGGCTGCGAGTTCACTTCCGGGTTTCGCGTGTCACCCGATATCACCGCGTGTCGTGTCCGGCCGTAAATAAGCCGTACTGTATCGCCCGAATAAAATTACGGCTTCGCTTTCTTTGTTTTTTGGCGTCACTTAAAACTCTCTGTCCGCCACGAACGACCAGTGAGCGGATTTCCATCCGTAATTTATCGAAAGAATATTAATTTTTCTTCTTGGTACAACATCTTACTCAAACTTTTATACAATTATTTTTTTTGTCTGTTCTCCGTGCACCATTGTTCAAATATATTTGATGATTGTTACATTTGAGCGATTTTAAATAGCCATTCTCGAACTCCGTTCTTTCTCCCGTCCGAACTCCCCCCTCTACCCCCTGACGACCTGAGCAAATCGATTATCGTCGTCGCGGAAATTTGTGGGGATGATTTACGGTTTATAAAGGTTCTCTGCCGACTTGTGAATTTTTAGAGTGGTGCGAATCTCGCGCCTAGCGCCCAAGCAAATACATTATTTGGTGTCTTTACAAATTTCCTGCTATCCGCGCCGAAGGTGTGCCGTCGGCCACTCACATCGGCCCTATTTCTCGGATCATTATCTATCCGACATTATCAAAATAAATAACGGTCACAATATATATATATATATATATATATATATATATATATCAAATTATTATTATTTTCAGCTGCGGATCGTATATATATGCGTATGTATATACGTATGTGTATGCATGTGTGTGTGTATGCGCGCTTATGTATATGTATACGTTTGTATGAATGCATGTGTACGTGTATGTATATGCGCATATCTCTCTGTATGTCAATGACTCCGATAATTAATAATACATATATATATATATATATATATATATGTATTATTAATTGTCGGAGTCATTGACATACAGAGAGATATGCGCATATACATACACATACACATGCATTCATACAAACGTATACATATACATAAGCGCGCATACACACACACATGCATACACATACGTATATACATACGCATATATATACGATCCGCAGCTGAAAATAATAATAATTTAATAGATTAGATTTTCCTGTAATTAATAATTTTCATTAATGTGGAGTGAAATCGAGGGAATTCTCATGGTCGTCGTTTTTCGGTGGTAGGGTCACTAGTGTAAGGGTGGGGTACGTAGAAGGATTCTCATGGTCGTCGTTTTCGGTGATAGGGTCACCAGTGTGGGAGTGGGGTAAAGCCCGTCCTACTGCACATCGCATGATGCAGTCGTAGTCATTATAGTTTGAACTAGTGTAGTGCTTTGAGTCGCGAGATCCGTCAGGTTAACATGTGGAGTTACAAGAGAGAAGCTAAGATGTTGAAGATATTTTACTATCCGCCAGTTGAGGATAGTGAGAAGACAAAAAGGGTAACGGTGAAGGTCCATCTACCGTACAAGGTAAGAGCGAGAAATACATTTTTTATTATTATTATTATATTTTTTTTATATTACTATTTTTTATAATCGATCACTTGGTGTTTATAGGAAGGCTCAGTGACACGAGTGGATAGCTTTATGAGTCTTCCGTACAAGTTGAGGACGATGGAGGAGCGCAAAAGACAGAGGGAAGAGAGCACGAAAAGGTGGGAGGCCTGGGAGGAGGGCTTTTTCCACCTTATGGAGTTCTTCGAGCCCGAGCTCCAGAATACTGTTCAGGAGGTGGAAGAGCCCTGGAGTTTTGTAACGAGTACCGGAGAGACCTCGTGGAAGTTGGGTCTCATCTTTTCAAAAACCACTCTCGAGATGCAGATGTCGATTGATGTAAGTAATAATATTCTGTAACAGAGGATTGAATATATATATATATATATATATATATATGTATAAATTATAAATTTTGTTTATTCCAGGCGAGGGCAATCTCGGACGTAGACATCACGGGGTTCGTCAACATGAAAAGAAAACGCGAGGTCCGTCAGGTTAAGACTTCGACGAGGAGGGAGCTGGAGGCCTTATGGGAGGAAGGGGACGAGGACATCTTCAGTCTGGGATGGCTGTTTGAATAGAACTCCTGGATAAAGAGGCACCAGGCTCTTTGGGTTGCGCTGGCCGATAAATATCGTCAGGTGAGAAAGAGGTTTTTTTTTTCAATATATATATATATATATATATCTGTTCTATCCTGTTAATAATTGTTCTATTCATCTGTCCAAGATCAGACCGAGAAGGCCCGTCGCTTGATAGATAGTCCGGCCCATCGTCGGAATCTTCGCTTGCTCGAGCGTAAGGCTGGTAATCCTCCGCCCCATCGGCCGGCGGGCTATCCGATGACCGCCGTCGTTTTATCGCTGTGTCGACATTGTTGGAAGGCGAATTGTGAGGATATGAGGTAAGTTTTCTTGTTCATATGTATTGTGCATTCGTTATTACAGTAATTTTAACTTGGGTATATTTGTGTTATTTCAGAAATGACGGAAATCGGGGTTAGGAGAGACATCGGCTTCAGGAGGCGGCAACGCGCGTCCCACATGGGGTGGCGGGATTTGAGGCCAACACAGTGAAACCGTCCTCGAAGGAAGCCCTCCTTAAAAGATGGGAAAAGAAGAGAGGAAAGAGAGAAAAAAAAGGAAAGAAAAGAAAAAAGAAAGAGAAAGAGAGAGATTAAAAGTTTGTAGCTTGTTTGAATAAACAAAGTAATATTATATAGTCTATCTTTAATAAGTACACTTTCATCCTAAATCCTTTTCTTTATATTATTTGATCAATTAGAGTTTTCTCTTTTTCATTATTGTAATTACATTTCTTTAAAAAGTAATATCTTTGAAACTAAACGGTGAGAAAAAAAAAATTTATTATATTTTTTTATAATCCCACACTCATATTGTATACCCCCTGGGTTTTTTATTAAAATCGTAAGATCCGTTCTATTGTTATATATTAAAATGTGATGAAAATGCCATCCTTTCACGTGGTGTATAGAAAAAAATGCTATTTTTAACTGTAAACAACTGTTAAACTAAACGGTAAATCGACTTCAAAATTTCGTAATCGATAGATATTAATTCCGTTTATAACATATTAAAATTTCTAAAAATTCGTAAGAATTGTGAAAAACGATAGAACTACTTTAAATGATGATCCAAGGAATAAAATATATAAAAATGTTTATGCAAAAATGCGTTGATTTCGTTTTTATAAAAATAATATCTTGACTTAGTTTTATGCGAGAAATTAAAGAGTTCCGTGGGCGCTGCGATTAATGAAAAATCGAAAAGAGAACGATATTGTAAATTGAAAATAAAATTGCAATTTGAAAATAATTGAGCGGATTAGAAATGTCGATGATTTTAGAATATTTTAATGAAGTCCATATTATGAAATTATTATACAACAGAAATGTTAGCCAAAACGTAACGGTTCGTAAAATATAAAAAAATTCAATGATTAATGTATGTCAAAATTAAAATATATATATATATATTTATCCAACAATTAGCTTACTTGACATCGTCCTTCCTGACAATTTTAACCACATTTTTTGAAAAAGCTATTGAAGATGAAACAAGGCGAGACCAACAATATAAGAAGATGCAGAAGATTTAAACAACATTTATGACTTTAGTTATATACGCGCGTCGTGAGTGCTTAGGAGGAACGATGCGGGAATTAATTAAGGTTATGCAATGATTGTACTTAATTGAATATATTCTTCAAGACAAGTGGTACGCGTGAATACATAAACTTGATTCGCTCGGATTAAATAAGTAATGCGTCCGTGCGCGGCGACTATCGAAGACGGTATATCTCGTTGTCTAAAAATCTCCTATTTATACCTTGCCTCCTAAAACGCCCTTCGCTAGGCTTCGAGAGGCTTCGCGAATTTTCCATCTATTTTTATTTCTTCGTTTCTGTCCTACTCGTCTTTCGTCTCGTCTGTAATATTTTATTTATATTTACTTGTGCCTTTGTCCTTTTCGTATATGTCAGTGTTCGTATTCGTATGCGTGTTTTCCTTATTAATCTCAGGGAAGTATGTGACGATGTAATCGCCACAGTACTCCCCCGCCAGTGCTATACCGATAGCACGATACGTTTGCGTGATGCACTGTTTCGCAAAAGTTTTTCTTTCCGATGGCAGACCGAGACGAATGTTACCATTTGCTCGCCGTTATAAATTCGAGCGCCAAGTCGAGAATAAATATGACGTGACAAAAAAATAAATAATAAATAAATAATAATAAATAACAATGATGTAATAAATAAATGCTAATGAATACCGACAACCTATACGTGAAGAATTTTCGCTGTGCTTAACGTTATTCCGTCGCCCGTCGCTCTCGGTCTGAGACTCGTCCATTTAAATTACAAGAATAAATATAAAATGCAGAATATACAAGCTCTCGATACGCGTCAAATTTTCCTTTTCGCTTTTCGCGGCTTAAGTCGCTGTTGCCGTGTATACATAAATTTTCGCCGATAACACAAATCAAAGAAATTTGAAATCGCGAATACTAGTCAAAAAAATTGAAGAGTCGCGAACCGTATACTTAAAATTTTTTTTTTTTTTTTAATATTTCCGTTCCGCGGTGATTTCTCACGGGTTTGCTGCACATCCTGGCTCCCTGGTGCTACAGGCCCGCCTGGAAACGACTCGGGAATCGGACCATTCTTCCCGCTCTCGTTGTTCTCTGGCTCTCTCGGGGCAGCGGCCTCGCGTCCTCTCGCGCGTTTCGCTGCTCGACCTCGGTGTCCCGGTCTCGTGCCGTCGACTCTGCCGGGCTGTTGTTTTCTGGCTCGCTCTGTAAAATATAAGCCGGTTTAAGACGGTCTATTGAGACCGTTTTCTCTTTGCCGTGCATACGCACGACAAAGACTTTGTCGCCTCGGCTGATGACTGCGTACGGTCCCTCGTACGGCGCCTGCAACATCTTTTTCGGTCCCTCGTGTCGCACGAACACCTGTTCGGCCGTCGCTAGGTCCTTGTAAAGGAACGGCCGTCGCTCTCCGTGTCGGGTGCCGTCCACCGGTCGCAGCTCCTCGAACTGCTCCCTCAGCGTCCTTGCGAAGTCGGCCGCGTCGTCCTCGCTGTCCACAGGTCGTCGACTCAGGAATTGCCCCGGGATCCTCAGCGTCTGGCCGTACACCAGCTCCGCTGCGGTCGCCTGCAGGTCGTCTCTCCACGCTGCTCGGATCCCGAGCAGCACCGTCGGCAGCGCCTCCGTCCAGCGATCATTCTGCCGGCATTTGATTGCCGCCTTGAGCTGGCGATGCAACCTCTCGACCATGCCATTGGCCTGCGGGTGGTACGCCGTCGTCCTCAGGTGCTGTACTCCTGTCATCTCGCTCAGCCGTCGAAAGAGATGGGACTCGAACTGGCGCCCCTGGTCCGTGGTTATCCGCACGGGCGCCCCGAATCGGCAGATCCACCCTCCGTAGAAGGCCCTCGCGACCGTCTCCGCCTCCTGATCTCGCAACGGGAACGCCTCAGGCCATCGTGTGAAACGGTCTACGCACGTCAGGCAATATCGTTTGCCCTCCGAGACCGGCATCAGGATGATATCCAGGTGGACATGCTCGAACCTGCTGGACGGCGCAGCAATTGTTCCGAGCGGTGCCGACACGTGTCGTGATATCTTTGATTGCTGGCAAGGCACACATGCTCGAGCCCAGACTCGGCAGTCGGCGCCCATCGACGGCCAAACGAAGCGCTGCGCCACGAGCTTGCCCGTCGCCTTTATTCCTGGATGCGCCAAATTGTGAATCAGGTCAAATGCGGCCCGGCGAAAAGGCCTTGTCAAGAATGGTCGTGGTGTTGTTGTTGCCGTGTCGCAGTAAATTGCTCTCCCGATTCCGGGAATCTCTACTTTCTCGAGCTTCAGCCCGGACTCTCGCCGCAGGTACTCTCCGATCTCCTCGTCCTTCTCCTGCGATTCCGCCAACGCGGCGTAATCCAGGGGAGAATTGAGCTCCTCGATCCTCGACAACGCGTCGGCCACGACGTTTTCCACGCCCGCTACGTGTCGAATGTCGGTGGTGAACTGCCCGATGAAGTCCAGGTAGCGGAACTGTCGCGGCGTGCTCTTCTCGGGCTTCTGGCGGAATGCGTATATGATTGGCTTGTGATCCGTATATATCGCGAACGTGCGGGCTTCCACCATGTGCCGAAAGTTCTTCACCGCCAGATAAACTGCCAAAAGCTCTCGGTCGAACGCACTGTACTTCGTTTCGGCTGGGCTTAGCCTTTTCGAGAAAAACGCCAAGGGTTCCCAGCCGTCCTTGCCTCGTTGTTGTAACGACGCGCCGATGCTTTGTTCGGACGCGTCGGTAAACAAAGCGAGCTCCGCGTTCACCCTGGGATGTCTCAACAGTGCAGCTTGGGCTAGGTTTGTTTTCGATGCCTCGAATGCCTGTTGTGCCCGCGCCGTCCACGATATCGTCGCCTTTCCTTTGATATTCCCCTGTAGCAGATCGTTCAGGGGCGTCAATACTTCGGCGGCCCCGGGCATGAACCTCCTATAGAAGTTCACCATGCCCAAATATCTCCGAAGTTCCTTCGCCGTCCTCGGCGACTGCATCGTCAGTATCGCCTCCACCCGCGCCGGCAGTGGGCGAGTTCCTCCCTCGGAAACCTCGTATCCGAGGAATTCCACGCTACTCTGGCCGAACCTGCACTTCGCGGGGTTGATGACGACCCCGTATTCTCGAAGGCGCTCGAACAACATCCGCAGGTGTTCGCGATGTTCTTCCTCCGATGATGACGCGACGAGGATATCATCGATGTACGCGTAACAAAAATCGAAATCGCGCAGAACTTCGTCTATGAAGCGCTGGAATGTCTGCGCCGCGTTGCGTAATCCGAACGACATGTACGGAAATTCGTACATGCCGAACGGCGTGGTGATCGCCGTTTTCGGCACGTCTTTTTCCGCGACCGGAATCTGATGATACGCGCGCACCAAGTCCAACGTCGTAAACACTGTCTTTCCGGCGAGAGCCTGCGCGAAATCTTGAATATGTCGCACCGGGTAGCGATCAGGAATCGTTCGCGCGTTTAACGCCCTGTAATCTCCGCAGGGCCGCCATTCTTCGCCTTTCTTTGGCACCATGTGCAGGGGAGCCGACCAGCTGCTCTTCGAAGGTCGCGCGACTCCGGCCTCAACCATCCGTCGGAACTCCTTTTTCGCGGCCGCGAGTCGATCCGGAGCGAGTCTTCGTGGTCGGCACGCGACCGGCGGTCCCGGCGTCGTTTCAATAAAATGTCGCGTGGCGTGGATCGTTTCTTGAATTTGTCCGCTCGGCCTCGTAATGTCCGCGTATTCCACCAACAACCGGTGGTACGGCGTCTCCCCTGTGATCGTTTTGATATGCGGTACGTTGCAATGGATACAACGCCCGCGTGCGGTCAAGCTCGTCAGCTGATCGACGAGGCGAGAATTGCGCAGATCTACGAGGAGGCCATAATGCGCGAGGAAATCGGCACCGATTATTGGTTTCGACACGTCCGCGATCACGAAACGCCACGCAAAAGCCCGTCGCAATCCGAAATTCAATTGCAATGTCTCTGTTCCG